GGAAACCCATTAGATTCATATAATTTTGGAGAAGATACATTCGAATATATAAAATATCTCTTCTATTGCGGAGCAGGCCCGAAGGGGCGACCCTAAAGGGTCATGGCTCTTTGAGCCTACGTGTATTAGAAAAAATATAAATAGATATTTAACAAATTTTATTTATTAGTGTAGGGAGAAGAAAGCTGACCTATCCATCTGCCATATATATTTTTTCGGTTGGCGACTTCGCATTCAAACACATGCTTCAATTAGAAACGTATTGCGTAGGCTCGAAGAGCCATTGCTCTGCAATAAAAATCGGTTAGCCCAGATCGTGATCACAAAATTCAATCATGTCACGTTATAATGGGCGATGTCATGTGTTTTAAATTTGCGAATCAGAGATCAGGATAGAAGTTCGCGGAACATGCATAGCCACCGATAGAAAAATAGTTGGTTTATTGATAAAGCATCGAGGAAAAGAATGCAACTGGGCTAAGGTTTTACCATTCATGTTATAGGCCACATTAGTAGTAATAGTGGCGTATGAAAATAATTATTTTTAACGCAAAATGAAAAATAGCAATTCTTTATTATAACAAATTGTACATATAAAACACGCTATAAACTGGTCCCCAGCACGACTAAATAACAAACCACATTAATACGACAGCTATTTGTCTTCCTCCTCGTCTTCGTCTTCCTCTTCCTCGTCTTCTTCCTGTAAGAGTGATTCACGAATTTTGATTAATGCTATCAAAACTGAACGTCTTCCTCCTGGTTCAGCAAGATCGAAACCAGTCGTCAAACCATTCTTAGCTGGCCATCTTTGAACCTTAACTGACTCTTCTTTCGGTAGGCCGTTTGCAAGTTCCATCCAATACGTTGCAGTAATCATAGCTTTATAAAAAGTAACATATGTAGAGATTACACGAACGGCCCATATTGTCTGATCTCTAGGTCTCGCTTCCCCAAGGGAGCGTATATTCTCACTACCACAAGAAAGAATCTCCACAGCGATCTGTGATTCTCCAAAATCAGTAGCATACCCGACATTTTTCAGGTGTTTGTCCTGTTAAAAAAGTTGTTTGAGATGACGAAGATAATAGCATGTCAAATGATCAACAACATACAGTCCTCTACCACAAGAACGGCTATGTTTTCCTTCTTTACCACAAATTCGGTGTCTGATGATACGTAAGGCTCATCACCAATGTATAGTTTGCATGGCAGGTTATTTCTGGTTTAAGATAATACACATTTTAGGAAAATCATAGGAACATCATAAACTTCACTTTTATAGATACTAACTTAATCTTCAGGGGGAAGTTGTTCAAACCAACAACGCGAAGAAGATCATCCACTAACGCATCGGTGTGAGTTTCACTTGTGCCTATCGTCTGAACCGAGTTTTCTGTGATATCGTGCAGTTTGTCAATAAACGTCTTAATAGCATTACTCGAAATTCCTTCAAGGTTTTTAACATTGAAATCTGGTGATCTCAGCAAACGTCTGTTAATTCCGGTGAGAACATACTCGTCCGGAAAGTTGACGACTGAACAATATTTAAATTATAAGTATTAGGTTCACTAAGGATTGTTGAAGCAATGTATCTCGTACCTTGAACTTCGGGTATAACAACGCTCTGGGATGAAGCTCCAAGGAAGTTCACTTTCAGTGCCCCCATATCTTGTATTATGACTCGAAGAGTCGCCTCTACGGGCCTGCGGAGTGATGAGGTTTCACCTCTACAAGCATATGATTTAATTTCCCAGCTATATGGATGCATGACATTCACCATTTGAGATCGCCCGGTCCGAGATAAACAAATCCGAGATGTGCAAATCCGAAATGTGTTATTATTATATAGCGGAAACCGTGACAAATTTGTCACGATCGGACTATGTATATCTGTTAACTCATAATTAAGATGTAATATAGGCACGATGAAGGCACGATGAAGGCACGATGAAGGCACGATGAAGGCACGATGAAGGCACGATGTTTTTTTCTTATAAAAACGTATGGAAATATCATATCTCAGTTGAAATTAAATTTTTGTGATGTGGACCGATGATCACTTACGCTTACTAATCAATGAAAGGAAAACTAAAAATACTGAGTACCATAACATTCCCGGCAGTAGCAGGGTAGACTTTTGGAATAGCGTAGCAAATACAATCAACAAACGATTTAGAACCACCTATACAGGACAACAATGTAATAATAGATTTCAGAATCTTGTTAGAGATTACAACGTAAGCGTTAAACTCTGTATACCACTTTAACTATAACATTCCGCATGATTGCGGAGCCTTTTTTTCCTCTTTATCTCTCGGAAAAAAGATGTATATATATTTCTATATTCCTCTGACTGTATAACTGGCTAAGGCGGGACGCGTAATATTTCTAACGTACTTTTATATTGTCTGTACCTACTTCGCTGAATTTATTTTAGTCGATGTGTCAATACATAGCTGGTAGTAAAACCGGAAAGAGGAGCAGAGCAGGTGAACTATATTTTAAAGAATTTAATTCTCATTTTTGGGTGAGACCTGGTAAGTTCATCTATGATACAATCTATCACCGTAGTAGTAAATATATATATAACTCATGAATTTGCTCGTATATGAAATATAGAAACTCCATTCGATATAATGCATAATACAAATACATCCACTAGAAAACGTCGCCGTAACCGTACGACACAACCAACTAAGAGAGGG